AATAAATCCTGAAAAGACACATAGAAACTGTCATCATACAGTGATTCCCAGTGAATTTACAAACTTGGGAATGTCATTTTGTCTCATTTGCAGTGGGCTTGCTACTGGGAGTTAAATGAGCTCGGCCATGAAATGCAATGAAAAGAGTCAGTATCATACCTCTAATAAATGTTAGATGTCATTGCTATTGCAGTTAGTAAAATGTCTGAGTTATACAAAGGTTAGAGAATAAACATGGACTTCTGTATAAGCTATATAGACAAAATAAATCAAAGACAAAGACCTAACATAAACATGAAATTAATCTAGAGAAAGCCACTCACTCATTCTGGGTGACATTTGTGTCTATGTACACTTCTACTGTCACACGGGTTTTGAAAAATAATTCTTCTCACGGTTTATTTTCTTTTGTAACAGAAAATATTAAAAAGCCCTAAATTAAAAAAAAAAAAAAACTCACCAGAGAAAGGAATCACCTAGAAGTTATAGCTATTCTACACAGCCAACAGGGGTTCAAATCTCAGCTCTATCACTCACCAGGTCTGAAATTTTGGACAAAGATTTTCACCGCTGTGAGCCTCTACCTTTCCTTGTATTTACAAAATTGACACAACAAACAACACAGGTTGTTAAGAATATATATTGGAGAAGCTGCCAGTGGAGAGCCTGACAAACTAAGTCCTTTCACATAATGCTATCTAATTTCACATTATTAAATTTCTCCTCCTTGGGGCCTTTGAGATGTCTCAGTGGGTAATATTACCTGCCATATAAGGTGAGTTCAACCACTAGTGCTGACCTGACACTGCATGGCCCCCAAGCAAGGCAGCAGGTGTGGTCCAGAAAAAAAATAGAAAAAATAAAAGATAAAAACTTAAATTCCAACATGTTCAATTTAAGTTGGAAATATCTGACAGATTCAAGGTTTTCTTGGTTTTGTTTTTTGCTGTTGTTGGGAAGCTATACCCAGCGGTGCTCAGGGGTTACTTCTGGCTCTGCATTCAGGAATTACTTCTGGCAGTGTAATTGCACGTGGTCAGCCCACTGTACTACTGCTCCAGCCTCCAAATTCAAGTTAAGAAGTTTTTTTCTTTGTTCTATCCACTGAAAAGGTCTAAAAACCATGGGATTCTACAGACATGTAACATGGCCAATGCCCAGAGATTAATTTCCAAATACCACTTCCTATACTGAAAGAAACCAGATCTCCTTAGAAAAATAAATGACTAACTCCAAGGTCTAGAGCGAACACCTGCGAAATAAATCTGGGGTTTCAAGTAGTGCAAGAAAACAAGAAAATGCTCAAGGACTAATAACAGTGTGTCAAAAGAACAAAGAAGCTGATTTAAAGGGCTTCCCACCGGCCAAATTAGTGATAATTTTAGTATCAAAGAGAATAAAGAATCTGACAATAATACCACACTGAATAAGCTAGTCCTTAGTGATCCTGCAATAAAGGAGGGAAAAATAAAAGAGAGAGAGGGACACAGAGAGAGAGAGAGAGAGAGAGAGAGAGAGAGAGAGAGAGAGAGAAAAGCTCTTCTTATGGAAGAATGTCTGATAAATACAGAATGATAAAAGTAGAAAAATCACTGTTCCAAGGATGGAGATATAGCATAAATACAATATGAAAATTTCCTTTCAGAGGCCAGAGTGATAGTACAGTGTACGGTGGAGCTTGCCTAGCACACAGTCAACCCAGATCCCAGAAGCCCAAATGGTCCCCAGAGTTCTGCCAGGAGTGATCCCTAAATATAAAGCCAGGAGTAAGTCCAGAGCACCGCCAGGTGTGCCCCTGCTATGCACCCTCCTCCCAAAAAAAAAAAAAATCACTACTGCCCCTCCTCAGTCTAATATTATTGATTTAAGCAAAGAGTATCAATGGATGTTAGTCATTCAACAAATGGTGAGTGAAAATAGGATATTGACACGACCAATTATATAGTACTTTTGCAGAGGAAAATATACTTTCAAATAGTAAGACGTGGTACTGGAGAGATAGTACAGTGGGTAGAGAGCTTGCCTTGCAAGTGGCCAGTCTGAATTGATTCCTAGTCCTCCATATAGTTCCCGGAGCCCTCTAGGTCCCGTGGCACAGAGCCAGGAGTAAACCCTGAACACCTCTGGGAAAATGGTCAGACTGGGGCCAGAAGGGTATTCGAAGAGACTGCACATAGGCAACCTAAGTTTGATACCCTGTAACACAGATGGTCCCCTGAGCACCACTAGGGAGTCAACCCTGAGCACAGAATCAAGAGCACAGCTGGGTATGACCCAAAGAACCCTCTAAAATAAAACGACAAGACAGGAGTCAGGAGCTGGAGCAATAGCACAATGGGTAGGGCATTTGCCTTGCACGCTGCTGACCCGGGTTCAATTCCCAGCATCCCATATGGTCCCCTGAGCACCGCCAGGCGTAATTCCTGAAAGTAGAGCCAAGAGTGACCCCTGTGCATTGCCAGGTGTAACCCAAAAAGAAAAAAAAAAAAAGACAGGAGTCATACTCCACTCGTGTAATACAAAAACAGTGAGACAAAGTGGCTTTGTGTATCCCCTGAGTAATACATTACAAAACACACATAATTACCACTGCAATGTTCTACAGAACAACTTAAGAATGAAGTCAGATTTAAATTTCTACTTGACAGCAAAAGTTAACTAAAGAATCTGGTCAATCTCACAAGCGAGAAAACAATGCGACCTTCCCAGAATGTGGAATGTTCTACAAAAACACTGTTTAAAATTTTCCTAAATAACATCATAAAGAAGAAAAAAAATAGGAATGGAAAAGTTTATGGAATAAACCCCACGAAAAAATAATACAAAAACCTTGGCTAAATCTGTTTGGAAAAAAAGATATTAGAAGATGCGAGGAAAGTTCAAATATGGTCTAAATAGTAGGGGTTACAAAATTATTGCTAAGTATGATGCATTATATAGTAATTTTTATTTATAATAAATATTTCTTTGATCTTGATTCAGACTTAACAGGCCCACAGCTCTGAAACATTTGAAACTCCCAAAAGGTGGAGAAAGATAAAGTCTTTTGTTATGACTTCTAGAAGCACTCATGGTTGGCAGGAAACCAAATCAATGATCAATCCATAAGTTGGGAGGTCCAGTCCCACCCCCAGGACTCCAAAGACAGAGAGTGCTTGGAGTGTTAGGGTTAGAGATAGTGGAATTCGACAACGAGCACCAAAGATTTAATCAGTCATGACTAAACACTGAACCATCCACAAAAACACAGAAAGTGCTCAGAGCGCTGCCACCCCCAGCAGTGCCCAGGCTTACTACTGGCTCTAAACTCAGGGAGGACCGTAGGGGCACCAGGGATTGACCAGAGATTGCTCTCGTGTAAGGCAAGCACCCACTGTAATATATTTCTGGCTCTTAAATTTAAAATTTTAAAGCAAAATGCTATTAAAGATTCCATAAACAAACGGGGGGAAAAAAGCTAGACTTCTGCAATACAACTGGAATAAGAGAGAACTAAATTGGTAAGGACAGAAAAGGCAGTTTCATTACATAAAAAATGGTTGGCTTGTTTGTTTTTTTGGGTTTGGGGGCCAAAGAAGTGCTCAGGGCTTACTCCTGGCTCTGCACTCAGGTATCAATTATGGCAGGGCCTGAGGCTGGGTTGCCAGGGATTGATAGGGCTGGCCATACACTCTGTATTACTCTCCGGACCCACATCTAAAATATTTTATTATGCCCAAGCACCAAAAAAGTGTGATCTGTGCTGTGGGCTGGGAGTGGTCCCCAGGTTCCCAAGCACCACTAGGTAGCTCCCCACCAAATAAACAATTTTAAGGACTGTTTGATGTCTTATTTCTTAATATTAAGAAAAGATTGGATCAAGAACGTGGCTCAGTGGTAGACAACATGCCTGGCATCATGAGACACTGAGTTCAATCCACGGGACCATAAAAAAATGCTAATACTAATATGCACAGATTACTTCGTGTGGTTAGCAGGATTTCTTTGTATCTTAATTTTTGTCCAACTTTAAAAAGAATTGTTTCCCTTATTCAGCAGCCTTAAAAAGAAAGTACTAAGAAAGTAAATAATTATAGATAAAGCAGTCTAAAAACAACTAGGTGTTAAAAGTGTCTAATTCTTATATCAAAGAATTAGATATACGCCCCAGCCCTTCAAGGCAACAGAGAATATTTTCTCCCCTAGCTATTTCCCCACTCCGCTTCCCACACCCAAGGAGCTGGTCTGCCTACTGAGAGATAACCCCTCTAAAGGGCTAATTCTTCTTCTGAAAATGCAGAAAGCTTGGAATTCTGAAACCCCCACCATCACCAAAAACATTAACAAACGGACCAAACTCTAGGATGTGCTCAACAACCATCACTTTACAGCTGATAAGACCCACCTCCACCCCCGCCTCCATTCACATATTCTATTATTCGATTCACAGAAAAAGGGTGGAAGTTACCAGTACCCACATTTATGCATCGAACTGACGGGCTAAGTGCCGAATAATTACCAGCCAGAGGCCACAAGCCAAAAACAAAATGGGAACCACAAGTCCTCAGCTTCGGAATCCAAACGCCCCAGCAGCGCGATGACTAAATTCCAACCACACAACACACTCAGGAAACAGGAGGGCGCGATCACAGCGCACAGCTGTTCTGCTCCAACCCCCTTCTTTCTTCCTCCATCCTGTCTTTCCTTTCTGTCCACTCTTCTTCCTGACAGCGAGCTGCCACTATTAACTCATTCCTTCCCTAGAGCCCTATGGACTTAATGTCCCTGGAACTCCTTCCGATGAACACAGAGAAAGAGGAAGCGAGTATGACCAGGGGTTACAACAAGATCCCTAAACCCAAGAGAAAGATCGCCACACTCGACTAACATCTCCTGCCTCTCAAGAGTCAGAGACCAGGAAAATAACAGGCAAGTCCAGGCTACCCCTCTTTACCAGCATTGCCAAAAGTTCTTTAGCTGAAGGGATTTAATTCACAGGGAAAAAAAAATGAATTAAGTACCAGTTTTTTAATCGGTCCCGGGCTTCCAACTGGGCTCCCACTTCAAAGCTGATTCCTCGTCTGTTAGGTGGATGCTTTGTCATTTTCAGTCATCAACGGGGCTGTCTTTATTCTCCTGAAAAAGCCAATTAAATATTTATGAAACTTAGGCGAAGTGTGCCCAGAGTTTAGCATCACTCACTACACATAAGAGACAAACAGGCATTATTCAAAGCACAAAGCTCCAGAAAACGCTATCGGTGCTCTTCCTGCTCCCACCCTCTCACACACGTGCTCGCCACTGCGTCCCTCTCCATTATGTAGCTTCCTGGTAGCTCTGGAATTAAGGAGTTATTCCCTGAACACTGCGCACTCACTTCTAAGGGGCTTCCCAGAATTCCAGGGAGCAATTGCTTTCAGGAAGAAATGCTGCTACTTGCAGCAACCATCATTTAGGAAAATAGTCAAGATTCAAAGCAACATAGGTCTGCTGGACCTGTGAAGCCTCAAGTCCCCTGGGCGAAGATAAAAAGTTAGCCAGGGTGGTGGGTGGGAGGGATACTGGGATCAGTGGTGGTGGAGAATGGGCACTGGTGGAGGGATAGGTACTTGATCATTGTATAACTGAAACCCAAGCACAAAAATTTGTAAGTCTACAACTGTACCTCAAGGTGTTTCATTAATAAAAATTTTTTTAAATAAATAAAATAAATAAATTTATGTTAATATTGGGGGGGGAAGTTAGCCAATAAATAGATAAATAACTGCAGGCCTGTACTCACAACTGCTGTGAATTTTAAGTGCTACAAAGCAGGAAAACAACAGAAAATGGAAACAATGATTTAGGAACCCAACTTTTGGAAGGTTAAAGCCAAAGAAAAATCTATTTATATTTCTTATTTTCATTGCCCTAATCATATTTTCTTCCTCTTTTTCAGCCTAGTGATCATTTATGTCCCCCATTTTTTTTTGTCAGTTTTGTTGTTACTGTTCTTGTTTGCAGTGCTGGGGAACAAACTCAGAGATTCTCAAAGCTAAGCTACATTCCCAGAAAACTGTTTTTTGTTGGTTTTACAGTGCCAAATCAAACCCAGAATCTGAAAGGCATGCTCTCAACTACTGAGCCACATCCCCAGGCCTCCTAAGTATTTATCAAGTCTTAGGGTGCTGAAATTTTCTCCATGTATGAAATTTATCTTTTGGGGCCAGAGTGATAGTACAGCGAGGCACTTGCCTTGCATGTAGCCAGCCTCAGTTCCATCCCTCCCACCTTATATGGTCCTGCAAACACTGCCAGGAGCGATCCCCGAGCACAGGGCCAGGAGTAAGCCCTGAGCACTGCCAGGTGAGTCCCAAAACAAACGAAACAAAATTCTATTTTGAAATTAGTGGACAGAGTGTAGTTCCTCTGAGGTCTTGGCATTTGGGCAGGAACATTCACAGCTCCTCTGACTAAACTATCCAAAACGTAGGATATTGCCATCTAATACACACAAGCAATGCCACAGCACTGCCCGGGCAACGTCTGCCTCATATCAGATGTCTTCACTGCCATGAAGAACCAAAACTTAAAAATGTTTTTAAAGCTTTGAAAAGGGAGCCAGGGCAATAGAGTAACAGGGAAGGTGCCTGTGGGGAACACAGCAACAGGGGCTGATGTCCAGCAACACACACTCCTCCAAGCACCATCAGGAGCTAACCCTTGGCATATGGCCAGGAGGAAGCCCTGAGCACTGCCAAAAACTTATATTTAAAAAATTTCACTCTTTGTACAAAATGCCTCCAAAACTTAAGTTTAAAAAAAACTACAGAAGAGGGCCAGAGCAATAGTACAGTGGGTATGGGGGTTTGCCTCGCATGTGGCCAACCTGGGTTCGATCTCTGGCATCCCCTATGGTTCCCGGGGCAATGCCAAGAGTAATTCCTGAGTGCAGAGCCAGGAGTAACCCCTGAGCATAATCGAGTGTGACCCAAAAAAAGAATCCCTGCCCAAAGGAAAAAAAAAAACCGCACAGAAGAACGAGAGTAACACCCAATATAAACAAAGGCCAGGAGGACTGGTCCATCGAGATAAGAAGTTTGCCACAAATGGGACAGGGACAAGGTGGGCAGGAAGGGAAGTTCAGACACAAAAGGGACCACTAGTGATGGTTAGAAATAACCACTTTGAACAAGAACTGATTACATAAAGCGTTATGACGATAACCCTTCAGTAAAAGTGCAGCAAACCACAGTGCCTAAAAGGAAAAAGGGGGTGAGGGTGGGGCACAAAAGAAAAGAAACGTATCTGTCATAGAGGCAGACTGAGGGAGCGAGGCGCAGGAGGGAGACTGGGGATATTGGTGGGAAATATGCACTGTTCAGGGGTTGGGTGTTGGAATATTGTATGACTGAGACTCAGTCATGAACAACTTTGTACCCGTATCTCACAGTGATTCAAAAATATTTTAATTAAATTTTAAAAAAAAAAGGAAGTAGGAGAGATAGTGCCAAGGCTAAGATGTTCACCTTACATGTGGCTGTGACTTCAAATCTGGTTCAAATTCCCTACAGGACACATGCATCCACCCCACCAAAAAAAAAAAGAGAGAGAGAGAAGTGGGTCTCCATACCTGATCAGTAAACAGTTCCATTTTAGGAAGAATTTGCTTGTGGAATTGAAATGAAAAGGCAGAATGAAGAAAGGCTAGGGAGAGGTTCTCAGGGTGGTACCTAAGCTCTGCATGTTGGAGTCCCAGGCTCATCCCCAGCACCACATGGTCCCCCAAGCACTAAATTGGAGACTCTAGATCCCAAACACGGAAACAGAAACTGAAAAAAAAAAATCACTCTAAGCTCACACTAAACCTCTACACTATAAAACAACAAAAAAATTATGCTTAATAAATGAAAAAGGGGGGAGAAAGTGCCTGCCACAGAGGCAGGGAAGTGGAGAAGAGCACAGGAGAGAGAAAGTGGAACACTGTTGGTAGGAAATGTACACTGGTGAAGGGATGGATGTTGGAACACACACACACATAACTGAAACCCAACCATGAACTGTGTATCTCACTGTGATTCAATTAAAAAAAAAAAATTAAGGAGGGGGAGGGGGCAGAGCGTTAGCAAAGTATGAAGCATATACTTTGCATGCAGGAGGCCTCAATTTGATCCCTAATACTACATGGTCCCCTACACACTTCCAGGAGCAACCCCCAAACACTAAGGCAAGGGTAGAGCTCAAGACCTGATGGATTTGACACCAAAACCAAAATATATTTATATTTTTTTGTTCGCTTGTTTGAGGCCACACCTTGAGGTGCTCTGGGGTCACTCCAGGCAGGGGTGGGCGACATATGCAATGCCAGAATAAAATACTGGTCAGCCGCATACAAGGCAAGTACTTACCCTCTAAGACTATCACTTGGATCCTAAACTTTTTTTTTTCTTTTCATTTGGTTTTGGGCCCACACCCAGCAGTGTTCAGGGCTTACTCCTGGCTCTGTGATCAGGAATCACTCCTGGCAGGCTCAGGAGACCATCTGGGGTGCCAGGGTTTGGACCCATGTAGAACACAAAAGCACCTTACCTGATGTATAATATCTTTGCCCCCTAGTTCTAAGTTGATTCAATAAAAACAAATAAATTTAAAAGGCTGTGTAAAGAGGCAGGGGGGATGGGGGGAATGTGGGGTGGGAGGGATACTGGGATCCGTGGTGGTGGGAAACGGGCACTGGTGGAGGGATGGGTATTTCATTGTTGTGCAGTTGAAACCCAAGCACAAAAATTTATAAGTCTACAACTGTACCTCATGATGGCTCACTAATAAAAATTAAAAAAAAAAAAAAAGACTGTGTAAAAAGGGAATGCCCTGCCACAGAGGCAAGGTGGGACGGAGGGGATGGGGGCGTGGGAGGGCTACTAGGATCACCTGGTGATGGACAATGGGCACTGGTGGAGGGATGGGTACCCGATCATTGTATAACTGAAACCCAAGCACAAAAATTTGTAAGTCTACAACTGTACCTCACGGTGTTTCACTAATAAAATTTTTTTTAAAACTCGGGACTCTTCACACTGCTAAAAATAAATAAATAAATAAATAAATAAAAAGGCTGTGTGCTGGGATGTGACTGCAGTAACAGAAAGTATGCCTTCAGGACCCTCTGCGCAGTCCCCACCACCACATCTACCCAGGGACATGGTCCCACTACAATAAAAAAATAACCCCAGGAGCCAAAGAGAAAAAACAGCAGTGAGGGTGCTTGCCTCGTTTGTGGTCCACCCAGATTTAATTCCAGGCACCACATATGGTGACTGAGCACTGAGCCAGTAGTAAACCCTGAGCACAGTCAGGAGTACAACTCCTCCCCAACAGAACAATTTTTTTAACTGGGAATCAGATGATTTACCAAAGGGTTAGAACACGAGCAATAAATGCAGGAAGCCTGGATTCAACGTACCACACGGTTTCCCAGAACAAAGGAGCATACCCTGAGTACCAACTCCGGAGTTGCTTTCCCCCCAATTACTACGAGTGACCCCCTCCCCAAAAAAAATAAGTAAGGGCCTGGAGAGATAATACAAGAGGGTAGGGTACTTGCCTTACACCTGGCTGATCCATGTTCAATCCTTGGCAACCCATATGGTCTCCTGAGTACTGCCAGGAGTGATCCCTGGGCAGAGCCAGGAATAAGCCCTGAGCACTGCCAGGTGTTGCCCAAAAACAAGAAAAAAAGAAAAACAAAAGAATAATAATGAGACAGCTCCAAGGGGTAGGTAGTGTGTGGTACATATACAGGGCTCTGAGCTCAATTCCTGATCCCTAAGAGCTTTTTCTTTTACTTTCCAGAATTTATAAAATTCTTTTTCAGAAAAAAATAAAAGGGTTGGAGAGATGGTAAAGGAGGTACAACAAGTGGCCTGGCATGCGACCATTTCAGATGAACCTGGTTCCATCCTAGACAGACACCACATATCCTCCAAGTACCATCAGGGATGACTCCTGAGCACAGTCAGGAATACCCGCTGAGTGTGGAGGTGGGGGGGGGAGGGCACAAAAAATTCAGATCATCAATTAATAGTGTAAAGGATAAGCAATCAATTGGACAGCCCATTCAGAAAGGCCAATACTGGGTCACACACAAAAATCAAATC